ATCACAGCCACAAAACAAACGAGGATGATTTCAGACCGTTATAAATAACACTAATTCAAGTTCAGATACACGTGAATGAAGCCCAATGCAACCCATTTTGATCTTCTCCAATTGTTCCCGTTCATTCCTCTTGAAAGATAAGCTGTATATGGCAAGTGATGAACAGGAAGAAACGCCACTGAGCGTTTAAAGTGTAAGGATTTGTTCTACTACTCTGTGTTGGCCTTGGTTCATTGTCATTAAAAATCTCAAATTAATAGCTCTGTCTTTGTGTACGGGTGTGCATGGAATAACGTTTGTAATTCCTTTGTTTAGGAGTCATTTTATTTTCTCAGCTTTTTATTTTGTTTATTACGTTTTTTTGTCCCTTTGGAGTACGGGAGGACAGAAGTAAACTAATTGTTCAAGAAACAACAGCAAGACAACTTTTGATGTGGAATGTAAACAATTGATGGTCGTTAATTATCGTTTGTTGTTAGCTGTAAAATAAAGTTAGCTGCGGTAAAAGTTCCATTTCATCATTGGACAGTGCTATTGTGAACCAGGCCCGTGCAAGAAGCCAATCAGAATCGAGAAATTGTTATTGAGCAACAGAGTGATTTCGCAAACCCCGATTCTTATATGCTTATTAGAATCCTCCAATGCTAATGAGTGTGTACAAAAAGAGAAAACTTCCGCACGTGCGCCTACAACAGGCAAATAAACACGGTGTTTTTAAACTCTTACGTTCTAATTCGCTTCGCTCAAACGAACGTAAATCATTTTACCCTTGAATTCCCGTAATACAAACAAATCACACGAGAAATATGGTAGGATGCGCAAGCGGATCCAAAACAGTTTATTATAAGATAGTTACTAATACAGAGTGGACTGCAAAAAAAAGAAATTACAAAGTTGTTGTTGTTGTTGTTTGTTTTTTTTTACAATTTTTTTTTTTTACACACTACTGCATGGAGAAATTAATATACGGTCGATAACGCATTACAAACCTAAATACTTAGTTACTTGTAACCTGTTTTCAAGGCTTTCTTCAACATACATATCCTTG